TTTTTTGCTTCTCATCCGTAAACACTCTGCATAGTATTTCACGTGATTCCGTTTATTTTGAAAGGTCTCAACAGGATCTTGAGCTTTATTCTGAAAGGTTTATGTGGAAAATAAACAAGTGGACACGCGATGGTTTTACCGTCGTTGTTGCTAACGATGACGCATAAAAACAGGCGCTTGTCTGTCCTTAGTGTGGTTATATTAAATATAAGAGATAGAGAGAACTTTAAGAAATTAATATAGCCACTACAGTGACCATCAAAATGGTGAAAAAATATTGCCGTAAACAGTTTATTTTGCGACACCATGAAACAAACGATAGCGTAAAATGAAACGATAGATGTTTTTACATCGTCATCCGATGTATATCGTTATATCGAACAGCCCTATGTTAAAATGTGACAAGACGAATGGAATATTAAAGCCTCTGTACCTTACAGCTTTACAGTCCTCTCTCACACACACACACACCAACACCCCAACATCGTGGCCACTCCCATGGCTCTGGATGGTTTAAACGCTCAACCAAAAGATACAACATCCTATGTAGAAAACATTGTGCAGCTTCTGAAGAGTTACAAGGTTAGGTCACTTTAGCTACTGTTAAATTGAAAATGTTAAACGGTTATTTTATACGTTTACTAAATAAAATTTCCAGGGAAAATGGTATCTGGGCTACTTTTGTGCTTATATTTCACTTAGTCTGTGTAACTGGATGTAATGCTTTCTCACTGCTATTGCAGCAGTAATAGCAGGGAGCTACTTTTAATCCTTTAACGCTCCAAGTGATGTGAAGCTGTCCAAAAATTTGACGTCAGCTGATTGCATGCCACTGATTAGCAAGTCAGTGGCGTCACTTGATGACTCATGACAGTATCTCCTTCATAAAAATCAAAAACCCCATTTTTGAAATCCAGCAAAGAGGGAAATTTCTACACAAAAACAACACTGTGGTCCCAGATTCTGGAACACACACACACACACACACACACACACACACACACACACACAGAGCAGCAGGTATACCACCAACCAAAACCCAGTAGAGTTGACCTGAGTAGCTACTAATGGAAAAAAGGATATATAATGCTGACTTACTTTTGCAGTAAATTCACACTTCAGATTAACGAGTGTGTCATCAGTGACAGAAACTTACTGGAAAAGAAGGACTGAAAATGCCCCTTACTTAGATTTAAAAATGCTGCTGCCTGCAAGCAAATACCAAACACAAAATTTGGTATTCATTTATTTTTTCATATATTGTCAGAAATATCATGGCAAGTTTTCTTGAACTATCATGATATAATTTAGAATCTTTGTCATCCACCTCACTTGCAGTTTATATTTATCAAGTCACCCATGGTATCAAATATGGTTACTTCTAGAATATGTTGCATTAAACTGCCTTTTTTTTTTTTTAACAGCATGGGGCTGTTTTGCATGGTAACTGTTTTTTAATACTTGCACATGTGAATTTATAAGCTCTTATAGAATCTACTTTTATCAAAGTAAAAACGCTGCATAGATCAGCCCCAGCTGTAGTTATGTCTAGCTTGTTTTAGTTGTGTCTAAATTTTATAGACAATATCTCCCAGAAGCACCTGCAGTATTTGATAAATGTAGCCTGCGTTTCGGGTTGTGTTTTGTGTTAATCTCGTGTCATTCCTGTTGAAACTTTTCCCAGACTGATGTTGACACCTTGTCCAACTTCTCTTTTTTGCCTCCATAAAATGAGTTCAATTTCAGTCTTTGCCCATTTGCATTGACATAAGCTGTAGTCTCATGTAGCCATGTTTCTAATGTAAGGTGGAGTTAATCTTTCATAACTTGATGGGGGAAAAACCATCAATGTCTCACTTTTGACATTTTTGGGTACAAATTAATCAGTTAGTGCAATGTTAGCGATAGATTAATTTGAATGGATGATTAATTTTATATTTGTTGACAAATAGATTAAACAGTCAATTGGTGCAGCTCTGCTGCTTCTATTTTAATCTTACTTGCACCCAAGTGATATGTGCCGATAGCAAGCTGAGTCTCTGCTCCAGACACATGAAGGTTTTAAAATCTGAAGGTAGAACTGAAAGCACAGATCAGAACAGAGGAGAACAGAGAACCTGTGAAAGGATTCCTCTAGAATGGTTGATGATCATAGGGTCATCTTTAGGAGCAATGCAAACTTTTGGCACGGGTTGAATACCCTCTTTCTCACCCCTCTGTCTGCCTGCTCTCTCAGAGGTTAAAATTCCTTCGACTGCACCGCTTGCGTGTGAGTATTAGTATGCACGCCTGTGTGCAGACACGGTTCCTTAGCTCGTACAGGTGGGTGCAGTAAATATTAGCTTTTCAAATGAACATGGCCACCCTCGGATATTTAAAGGCTGAAATTGAGAGGCTTTCTTTTTTCTCGTGGCAGGCAGCTCCAAACCAGCAGCAGACAGCTTGGTTACATTCAACAAACATTAAGTAACCATTGACTTCAGTCTGCATCTTCTACTGCAGTTCATTTTGGACTTGGGAAAGGAGGAGCTGAGAAAGGGCACTGGGTTCAAGCTTGAATGCAAGAAAACAGGAGATATTAGCAGATGACTGCCTCTGGTTTATCCACAGATAATAAGGGAACACAAATAAGTTGAGGATACCTGAAGACTGTAGACAGGCAGCATTTTATTTTACAGAAAGCAGTCATCTTGTGCTTATCCAGTGTATGCTGAGTGAGACCTCAAATGTGTCACTGCTTATTCAAGATGTCCCTTTGGATGCTTTCAGTCTGACAGGAAAACAGGTGGCTCTAAATAATGACTTATGACAGAGATGCTGAAAGAAATGGTGCATTTCTTACAGCGATGTTTTCCTGTTGAAGAATGAGTTTGCAAAGTTTACCCCAGTGTCCTGCTCGGGTTAGCCTCTCCCATCATCAGATTCACTAAAGTATCCATTCTAATATAAAGTAAGTGTTCAGCATCGGGCATCAAGATTAGTTGGAATAATTAATTAGCACAGACGCTATAGAGAAGTGGTACTTCTGAATTCACGGACTATTTAGGGAGACTACGCCGAATGAAAGGACCTTTCAGTTTCCATATTCTGCAGGTTGGGGATGCCAGCATTCGGAGCTGTTTTGAGGTTTTGACTTGGTCTTAAATCCTTTTCAGCTACTGGCTGCTTTTTGGATGTCACGGGTTTGCTTACAACGTTAGAAAAAGTGATGTGTTTTAGCGGTAGAGACAGATTTTAATTGGTTTACCCTTGTTTGGATATTGACTGCCAAAAGAGATCTTTCATCAAGCCACTTGCTTTAAACTGCCATCAGTGACAGAAAGCTTGCAGGCCACTGTGCTGTACAACACAGCAGGAATTGTCCGTTTGTTTTTTATCCTTGTGCATTCTGTTTTATTTCGGAATGAAGGCAGTATCTGAAGTGTCTATCGCTTTAGAGACTTTAAAGTTATAGTTGGAAGATTTATTGCTAAATATACATATAAAAAGGTGTTCTACTCTTAAATTAAGTTTGCTTTTTTGCTGCCGTTTCCCCTTTGCTTATCTTAAATTGGTATTGTCAGTTTGTTAATTTATTTCTTGGTATTTTAAGAAAAAGGGGAGAAGACACGTGACACTGTGTTTCTCCGGACAATCAGAAAAGAGTCATTCATTCGTGTCCAGCTGCCCGCGCAGTGCTCCCAACCTCTCCTCAGCCACTGACGGGAAATTCTGACCTGCAGTGTTTTACGCCCAGCCTGGTTCAGGAGAAAAATGCAGAATAGAAATGTTTGCCAGTGCGTGAACACAGGCATTCGAGGCGCAGAAAAGCTGATACGACGTGCGTGTTTGTTTGTGGGTCCCATGGCAATCCCGCCTGAACTGAAATCTATCGCTCATTATCACATCTCATTACATTTCTTCCTCCACTTCATATCTGCATCTCAGCCCTTCAGTCTCACTCGTTGTAGTGTCTCCTGTTTTCCCACCAAAATGCTTCTCAGCAGCATGGCTTTCTCTCCACCGGCTCCTCATCAGCTGCCTTCATCGCAGAGCTGGGCTCTCTCACGTTAATGTAGTTGTTAACAGCCTGTGGTCACAGGCGGTTTGTGTGGCTTTGCTGTTGGAGCTGAAACGCTCACAGGAGGCAGAGGAGGTGCTTTGTAGGACCTCTGATCCCAAATGGACCGGCCAGTGATGGACTGTGCTTGGTTGACTGATATAGTTTGACAAGAAACTAAAAAGACCAGGGGTTCAGTGTTAAATTACAGAAATTGAAGATACAAATGAAAGGGATATGAACTGAAAACCAGAGCGAGAAACTGTAAAAGAACACATGAATAAATTTTCAGGGAATACATGAATATCTTGTTTATTGCTGAATGTGGGTGCTTTTTGTTTCCTTTGTTCTCCAAACCAAAAACACACCCTCTGTTGCTCTAGTTACGTCACTCAGGACGAAGGAAACCCATCATTGTGGTCTGAGCGCCTCTTTTGTTTTTTGTTTTTTTCCTTGTCATGTGATACTTTCACTTCTCCAGTTGAGAGTAGTAAGCACAGTGCTTGTAAGATGGTGTTACCAGGAGTCACATGCTGCTGTCTAATAAACACCCTCACCTTACATACCTACGGTACCTTCAGCACATCTGTGACAGCCCTTTGATTGGTGATAATGAGCCGTGGGTGTTTACAGTGACTGTGAAATTACATAGAGTAAATATAGTACAGGTCTGATTCTACATTATGTCTTTGCTTTTGAGCTACTGATACAGCAGAGGTGTGTGTGTGTATAAATATACACTATATATATATATATATATATATATATATATATATATATATATATATATATATATATATATATATATATATATATATATATATATATATATATATATATATATATATAGATAGCACAGTTTGCTGCCTTTGCTCTGAACACAACAGATGAGTGTAAGTTTATGTGAGTTTGTGGTTCGGGTCTGTTAAATTCTCTCCGTCTGTGTCTTTAATCTCTGCAGGAGTCGGAAGATCCAGATCCGGAACATTCCCCCTCATCTACAGTGGGAGGTCAGTGTGTGTGTCTCCGTCTGTGTGTGTGTGTTGGTGTGACAGTAATGCCCTGTTGATCAGCACCAGGTAGCACATAAACCAGTTTCCTGACGATGAGTCACCAGCCTTTATCCTGTGTTTGTGTGTTTATGTCTGTACTTGTGTGCGCGCTTATGTCTGTGTCGGTGTGCAGATGACAGTGCGTCTGTGTGTCGACATCTGTAACCTTGCTGGGGTCCAAGTTGGTTTTCTATGTGTGAGAGTCTCTGTCTTCAAGCCTTTACTCTGTCATTTTTCTTATTTTAATATCTGCAGCCTGTCTGCGCTCACAGCTCTGGGCATGTGGTTTAAATGGGTTTTATTGTTTTTAATATTATAAACATTAGCGGATAAAAACGCTTTGTGTTTACTGAACAGATTAGGACAATTTGCCTTATTCCCCCCCCAATCTTTTAGTACTGCATACAGTTTTATTGTACAAAAGAATTTATTCACATTTAATAACACAGTATTTTTGTATTAGTATATAGATAAAGAATTGAATATCTGATAGAAAACCAGCTATTTAAAAGCAGATAGTGGACAGCATGAAATGTCTTTAAAAAATAAACAAAAGATATGTTTTTCTGCATTCAGTCAGTCTGCGGCGACTTTTAGCAGCATGGTGCCTCAGCACTTTTGCCTCAGATCTGCATGGTCCTGGGCTCAAACCCACAAGGGCCTTTCTGTGTGAAGTTTGCATGTCCTCCTGAGGCTTTCACAGGTTTTCTGCAGGAGCTCCAGTTCTGCCTGCCATTGAAAAACATGTAATGGTAACCCTATCTGTCTTGCCCCAGGCATTTTTGCAAGAGATTCTTAATCTCAAGAGTTTTCTGGTAAATAAAATAAAATATCAAAGATGCGCTGCTGTAGTGAATAAAAGAATGTGCTGCAATGGCTCCTTGGCTTAACCATTCTAATGATGTGATTTATTCTTAATACGTGAAACACAATTCCTTGCCGCAAAATACAGTGAAAAGTTCAAAATGGCGGCCCTTCTTCTCTACTGATGTCACTCTTTGCACACTGCCGGTCCAGGAAAGATCCTTTGGTGGTTTTCTTTTTACATTACTTTTTTTTTTTTTTTTTTGTTTTTTGTTTTTTCCTACATGAATCTGACCTCTTTCCGTTTGAACAGTGACCTTTTATTATTTAACATATTATGATGGAACGCTGCCACACATTCTTATATCATCTTAGGTGTTAGTATGTCTTTTATGTCTGCCTTATTTCCCCTTTGCACCATACATAATGTTTGCACAGCAAGATTAGGCTCTTCAGCCACAAGTATAACAACTGAGATACAAGTTTTTGGAATAATACTTTGATTGATCACACTTATGAATATTAAAGTATCTCTGTTTTTACCAATATTGCGTGACTGCAGGGAATGACATCTCTGACACACGCATGCACGCACGCACGCACTTTGCCACCTCTCCAGGTTTCTCTGCAAGTATTAGCTGTGATCTCAGACGCCATTCAGCTCTCATTTTCTTTATTTACAGACAAGTCTGCACTAGCTGCAGCTACTCATCTGACATTAGGAAAAGTTTTTGTTTGGAGCTAGGTACATCAACGTACAGTGCTTTTTATTATGCATGCATTGTAGAGGAATAAGCTGATATGAAGTGACGTAATTAAAATAATGTAAGGTTAAAGGTCTGGCCTTCCAGTAATAAGCTTTAATCTAAAGATCAATCAGATCTTAAAGTCTTGATCTCACTCTGTGTATGTATGTCAGTGCTATTTTGTGTGTCTGAGTTTTATCTTTTCTCTTTTCCCCATCAGGTTTTGGATGGCCTTCTAGCTCAGTATGGTACTGTAGAAAATGTGGAACAAGGTACAGAATTCTTCTCCTCCCTGTTTGCTGTGCATGTCATCTTCATTTGGTTCCAACTGTTCAATTCACATGAGACTGTTTAGCATCACACACACACAAACATGCACGCACGCAGACCTCCCAGTGAGTCAAGTCTCCCTTTGTGACTTCACTTCCTCGTTACCATCATCCCACACAACCATTATCTAAACATAACTCATCTCTGCATATGAATCAGCCTTTATCATCTTGTCTGTCTGCGTGTGTGCGTGTGTCTTATAAGTTTGACCCGAAGAGTCGAGTGTTTGAATTGCATGCAGCCTCTATAATAAGCACTGTGTACTACCACGGTTCCCGTTGGCCCCAGCATATAGATTGAAGTGGGCAGACATGGCAGTAATCCAGTAGTAATGTGTCCACGTGTGTGTTTATGCCTGCATGTGTTTGCGAGATGGATCTCTTTTGGGGAGGTGCATCGTGGTAACTGGGGAGGACACTGCAGGCGCCTGTGGTGAGGCTTTTGCACTGTCTGATTTTGTGTGTGTGGTGTTTTTCTTTTTTTGGGGGGGGGGGTAGGCAGCATTAGAGCAATCCCTGCAAACTTTTTGCTGACTAAGCACGCATGCATGAGTAATAGAGGCATGCACCGCAAGGTATAAGCACCAACAAAGATGCACATGTACAAATCTTTACACACACACACACACATACAGGCACAGTGTCTCCTTGTATATCAAAACAGCCACAACCAACTACTACCCACTGTTGTCATGACAGGTGCTAAAAGAGAATCCGACAGAGGAGATACTCCACTCAGAGTTTACCACACGCTGCCATTAAACAGTCTACTTCATGCTGTACCACACACCGGCACAGCATTTTCCCTTCACCTCCTCTTTCAGTTCCTCAGCCAGGCTCTCCAAACATCGCTAGTTGCAGTGAATTATCAATGGAGCCAGCTTGCTCGTGTGTCCGTCCCTGCTTGCAGTCTCTGTCACTTTTCTCTGCCTGGATCTGTGCACTCTTGTTACAGGGGTGAGGTTTTAGAGAAGTCCGGTGTTCTTGTGTGGCATGGTCAGAGCTGCTGGTGGCGGGGTGGGGCAGAAATGGCTGTGAGTGCCGGTGCCGGGCACCACGCCAGGCTCAGCCCACTCGCCCTCTCTAAGCCAGCTGGGCGCTCTCCCTGGATTTAACCCTTTAAAATCTGCTATCTGCTGCTCGCTAACAGGTTCGGAAGTTTCTTTTTTAGACATTGATGCCTCTTATGACTGTTCACAGGAAAAGCAAGCTGAAACATAATTTTACTACTTCTGTGGTACACCTGGCATCTCAGACTTATTTATAATTGACATGTTTTGTTCTTGGCTTGCATGGGCATTTATGTGCCTGTTTTATCTAAAACCTCAGAAGTATCTTTACAGAGCTTTGAAGACCTGCTCTATTTGCCATTTATTTGATTTCACAAGCGTAGTTGAAAAAACGTAGATACTGTTGTCTCTTGTGGCAGAAAGCATTTCATCAATAACACAAGCTGCCTTTCTCAGACCTTGTTCTTTTGCCATTAGTATCACTGTTGTTCTCTCAAATTACAGGTATCATGCAGTTAAATAAAACATGCTGAAGTACAATGTGCTAAGACCGGTTAAGGAAACATGTATACCAGGGTGACAAATTAAAGGGAAACTCAAATTTTGACGCACATAGTCAGGAGAACTAGTGGCTCTTATCTATTTTCACACATGCACTAGCACAGCAGCCCTAAATCTTTCTAGACTTTATCCAGTGTAGGTACATGTGAGCAGTATTTAACCTTCCCATGTCAAAAGATTGTGTGCTGGTCGGTTACACCTGTCAAATATAAGATGAAGAAATATCTTTTAAAATAAAGGTAAAATAAACCACCACAAGCTGTTTTGGCAGCTTGTGGTGGTTCTGCATCTTGCAAATGAACTCTCTTATAATGTTTTTTTTCTTTAATTTGTCACATTTTTTTGTATTTATGCATTGCATGAGTTAATAACAGCAAAAACAAAACAAAACATTCTGAAAACATTTAATATTAGAGCAAACAAAACCTTTTTTGTGATCTCTTAGAGAACAAGAGAGGAGAAGAAAAATGTTTTGCAGTCGAGTCTCAGTATTCATAGCCCAGCTCTTGGCTTCAGCTAGACTGCATCTGTTGATTATTTCATTAAGTGATGAATATTGATGGCGTTTCTCTTTATTATAAGACAAAGAAAAAGAATATAAAGTTTGTGCTTGCTTATCGTTTTTCCTTAAATTGCTACAGTGATCAACTCAGCATCTGAGCTGTTTGATCAATGGACAATTTCATCAATCGATCGATTGTGAGCTTCCTTTGTAATTGCGTGTACTTTACAAGGCTCGCTTGAATTGAATTCCACTTACAGTTCAACCTTTGAAGAATTGAAGAATGCGTGATCTCAGCAGGAATCAAACCCTTCAGTGTGGCGGTATCCGTGTTGTTCTTTCCTCAGCGGACCACAAGTCTCGGCGAGGTGCTTCTTAGCGGTGCATTGCATTTTATCACAGATTACTTGCTTTGTTAAGGCTGTCATGTCAAACTTAAATAGTTATTGTGCAAGTGGCAGAGAGGCTATTGTGTTAAGCTGCTCCTGTCTGTAGAGGAAGCAGCAGGGTCTGGAGGGGAGCCAGTGTGGTGATGGTTGTAATGGATTCACACAGGCAAGTGGTTCTCTGGGTTAGGGCTGCTCAATTAATCGAATTTTAATCACGATTACGATCTGAGTTTTCAACGATCATTAAAAATGACTGAGCCGATTATTAGCCCCTCCCTCATGCTTTACTCTCGCGCTGCTCCGTGTGGCAAATCGAGCGCACCGCTCTGCATTTCGAACACGCGTCACAACAATTAAGAGGACCCGAGGGAAGCTCGGAAAGCTAAGCAGAAGTTATTTGGAGAGAAGAGTGACTGCCGTTGGTTGAAAAGAGGTAAAAAAAAACTTCAGTGGTGTGGAAACATTATGGGTTCGCGGAGTCAGACGTGGATCAAGTAGACATAGTGTGTAAACTTTGCTATGGTGTAGTAGCTGCACCACAGAGCAACACTGCAAAGTTCACTAAACATAGATCTTTACATTTTTCATTTATTTCTTATATTGCAAACATTTGCACTGTTATCAGTATTTGCACACTATTTTATATTATTTTTTAAAGTCATTATTCAATACATTGTTATTGTTAACCCTTTAAAGCCGGTCAGAGCAGCAAGCTCCGTTTTGTGTAACTATTTTTAAATCCCACTAAGCTAGCGCAATAAATTTTTTTCCATATGAAACCAGAGGAGTTGTACTTACATCTTATGCCATCAGCTTGTCCTCGGTCACGGTTTCCTTCCACATATAGCTTTGCAAAAATTGCATAAAAAGCGCTTGCAGGAACAAAAACATAATATTCCAGAAACACGCTTTGCCGATCCGATCAGCTGTTCGTAACACTTCCCACATTGAAAAAGACGTCAACGCGAACTATCGCATTTCCTGCCCAAAACCAGAAGTGACGTCATTTTCGCGGGAAATGTAGTTTTTTTACTTGTAGGCCTTAAAAGCCTATACTGGTGTTTTTATAAGTCATGTTTGACTTTTCTGAATAGTTGCTGGGATGCTTAGAACTCGAATTGCACTGCTGGAAATAGTTTATTTTGATGCACCTGCTGTTTTCTTTGCAAATTTGCATCATAGGATTGTTTTTTTGTTGTTGTTTTTCCTGCAGTATATAAAAATTGCTGTATCTCCAAAATAAAACTATGAGGACACTCAAAATAAATTTCCTGTTGTTGTAAACTATTTTTTGCAACTTTTTTGTATTTAAAGTTTTGAGGGATAAACCTCTTAAATTTATCCAAGTAGAAATATATGTAAAAAAAACAAAAATAATTTTCAATTTTTTTCTAGTTTATTGCACTTTTTTGCAATTAATGTAGTTACTATGGACTTAATACATACATATTATTAAAATATGGGCTATAACAGTTGTATTGATGTATAGCAACTTGAAATGCTCCCACAAATGGCACTACAACATGTAAAAAAAAAAAATAAATAAATAAATAAATAAATAAATAAATAAATAAATAAATAAATAAATATATATATATATATATATATATATATATATATATATATATATATATATATATATATATATATATATATATATATATAAAAAAAAAAGCTCTGGCCGACTTGGTTCTATGGTAGGTCTTAAAGGGTTAAATAAATATCGTCAAATAATCGTGATCTCAATTTCAGTGAAAATAATCGTGATTATCATTTTTGCCATAATCGAGCAGCCCTACTCTGGGTCACCACGGGAACCTGAATGCGTCTCTGACTCACCTACGGGAACAACAAAGAACTGCTATGTGCATGTGACCGAATCTCTGTTTACTGTGTGTCATCTTTTGGGTGTGTTTTTTTTTTTTTTTTTCATGTCCTTCTCTTTCTGTCTTGTTTTGCAGTGAACACTGATACAGAAACAGCAGTGGTGAATGTTACATACGCAACCAAGGAGGAAGCTAAAGTGTAAGCAGCACATAATAGTGACACTGATGCATGAAAGTAGAGCAAAACTCATGATATACTTGCACAGACAAGAAGCTGCAATACAAGGAGTATTGGTCCTGCTGTTCGTATATTTTTCTTTGTACCAGGCGGTTTCAAATGTGTATCCATAAAGGTTAGAGCAGGGTTGGTTCATCTGTGGCCCACACAGTAACAAACTCCTTGTGAACTGATTTTTCTTTTTACACAAACACATGTAAGCTTGGAGGAGGTTACTATACTGTAGAAAAAGACAGGATTAAAAGGTAGAAGGCAAACATGTTTGTTCTCTCCATTAGCTGTCCATCGAACACCTAGGTCACATTTTCCCAACTTTTTTAGCCTTGTGAAAACAGAGTAGATGTGTTTCAAAGCATTGTGTTGGTGTGTTTATGAGGGGAAAATTTTTTTTTGAAGGAAAATAATGTGATGTAAGCTCACCAGGTCACTGCCGGTGGGTGTGTGGTGAGCTAGAGTTGAGAAGCTTGCTGTGTGATCTTGCATTTTAATTTTTTTGCATTTCCCATGAAAAAGCGCAGTGAATGATGCATGAAATCAAATTATATTTAATGTTTGTCCACCAATAATCAGATGTCAGGTGTAATTTGCCGCTTTGGTGACTTTTGCTCGGCTGAGGTAGTCATCATGTGTAACAAACATGTGTTTACAAGCAAGTATATCAGAGGCTTATGAAATTAATCAGTCAAACTGTCAGAGAACCTGTATTCTGATATTCTTGTGTTAGTGCATCTGTTCATTTATTTCCCCTCTCTCTTCCTGATACTTCTGCTTCTACATTCCTACTACCACCCAGAGCCATCGAGAAGTTGACAGGACACCAGTTCGACGACTACTCCTTCAAGGTGTCATATATCATGGACACGGATGCTGCTCCACCTGTCCAGGCTCCCCGCACGCGTCGTGGGGGTCGAACTTCCCGGGACCAGGGCTCCTCTCAGCCCGGGCCATCAGGAGGCTACGGATCTCCACGCCCCAGACAACACGACTTCCCACTGCGCATGCTCGTGCCTACTCAGTTTGTGGGAGCCATCATCGGCAAGGAAGGCAACACCATCAAGGATGTCACCAAACAGACGCAGTCAAAGTAAGCAACAGCACCTCACCCTGCTGGAGTTTAACCTTTCTTTTATTTTTTGGGTTAGCATGTAGCAGCAGCAGCATGTACCTCTGCTGCTGCTGCTTCTTCTTCTTCATCATCTTCTTCATAATGTAGGGCTGGGCCATATCATACCGTTCACAGTAACACCGGTATAATGTTAGGCAATGATAATAAAATGAAATATCACGATAGAAATGGGTAAAACGCGCATGCGCAGTGCCTTTGTTTTCATACGCACATGGTGGAAAAAGCATGTCAGTGACGGAGAATTGACTATGTGCACGAGAAAATGCTTTGCGGTCAATTGCTACTGCGAAGATATACTCCAAAATCATGTCCAAAACTCGAAAACTGAAAGATTGCGTTAAGTTACAAAGAGCAGAAGGTGGGAACACTCACCGCTGTTGTGTCATAAAAAATCGAATGATCAATTTTGACGTTTAAAGCGTTTAGATCGATCAGTTGTTTACATCACTCAACACAAGCAGAACTGCATTACTCTATGCAGAAGACACATCGTCCACATTCAGAAGTATCTCTGTATAATGACTGGTCTTATGATTTAAACAGGCAAATGTTCAGCATTCAAACTACAGGTGAAGAATAGTCAAACCAGATGTTTCCCCCGTTATGTCGATATCAGCTAGTCAAGTACACACCTACACAGCATGTTAACAAACCGTGAAAAAAGCCACACAAAAAATGAATGCTTACTGGTAACTGTTTCTATACATTAGTATTTACGAAGGGTATGTTGTGACTTACCTTCAAAATTACAGCGGTCCCTCGCTATAACGCGGTTCACCTTTCACCTCGCTGTTTCACGGATTTTTTTAGTGCAAGTTTGCATGCTTTTTTTTACGTCACATTGTGTCCTGCGTCCTGATCGCTGCAGACGATCTCCTCCGTGACGTCTCTCCTGTACAGTACAGAATCACTGCATCGATCTCTAGCAGTGTGACTCTGAAGTGCAGTACTGTATGTCCACGAAACGTTTTGCACCGTCAAAAAGTAAAATTGGCTACTTGATTTCACCTATCGCTGGTTATTTTTAGAACATAACACCCGCGATAAACGAGGGACCGCTGAGAAATATAACATTTGAATCCCTTTGCTCTTTTGCTCTGAGGCACGGGGGAAAAATATTGACAAGTCGATGAACATCATTTACAGATATATTGGGTAAATGCCCAAGACATCTATAGAAATGTAAATCGCCGCGTGATTCATTCATTTGCTTAACTTGTTTTGGACTGTAAACCAGGCGCGAATAGGACACCGGAAACAAAGCTCCCCACAGGAGCTTCCGCACCGGAAATAGCATATGCTAACGTGCACATAGTCAATAAGAAGGGCGAAAGCGTTGAATGACAGATTAACCAGATTTGGTTTGTAAAAATGGTGCAACTTCAGTGGTGTGGAAATGGTTTGGTTTTTGTCGGTCAGATACACACCAAAGCACAATTTTTGGTAGAGCAGGCAAGCGGGCCGTTGTTATTATCGTGTTTTTCGGAAAATAAGTCGCTCTTAAAATCTTTTTGATTTTCTGAAAAATCGACAGTTATAATCCGGTGCGTCTTATGTATGAATTCTGGTTGTGCTTACTCACCTCAAACCGATTTTATGTGGTACACGGCGCTCGAAAATCTGTCAGACTTTGATAAGCTACGAAGCCGCACCGCTTGATGGATTGTAGTCAAGAGCCTCACGGAGTGATACGTACTGTGCTTCAACATAATATTACCATATTGTGTGTGTGTGTGTAACCTCTTTTTAAGTTTTGTGGATATTATACATGGTTATGCTCAGGATATGTCAGCCCATTTCCACTGGAAATGCCTTTTGGTGAAACTGTCAGCAAGGAATTTGCATAAAAAAAACAGCTGCTTGTTTAAGTGAAAAAACATTGATGGTCTTTTTTTTTTTTTTTTTTTTTTTGCACTAATAAAGTTGTGGAGTTGTAAAGTATTTTTTCTGGCGTCAGTTATATCGTTATCGCAAATTTTCAAATATATATCGTGATAAATATTTTTGGCCATATTGCCCTGCCCTACCTACTACAATGCCAATATATGTCTGTCTCTCTTTCTATCAGGGTAGACATTCATCGGAAGGAAAATGCAGGTGCAGCTGAAAAACCCATCACCATCCACTCAACACCCGAGGGCTGCTCCGCCGCCTGTCGCATGATCCTGGACATCATGCAGAAGGAGGCCAACGAGACCAAGACGTGAGTCTGCCCAACTATTCTTTTATATAAACATGCTCACATGTGCTCCTGTGGAGCATGTTTACAACCTCACAGGGCGATTAGCCATAATGTCTGCAGGGCTATAATCTTATCCTTTTACCTGCCTGCGCACCTTTTAATCTCACTGTGCATTCTCTCGGTTGGACCACTGACACAGTAAACACAGTGACACTCTCACATAGGCTAACACGTGATCACAGCTTAACATTTAAGAAACAAGGTCAACATGCCTAATTGGGGCTGACAACTTTAATGAGAAGCTGCACCTTTTGAACTTTCGGAACTTCTGCTCTGTTTGAGCGTCAACCTTTAACACATAATACTCATGTTTGTCTGCATTTATTTGAAAGTGTGCTGTTTTTCAGGGGTGGCTGCTCTCTGGTGTAACAGTATTTGAATTTATTTTTTTAAAAACAAATCAATTTCCCTGAGATGATACATAGTAAAAACTGCGCTTACATGTGTTTGTGTGACTGTTTTGTTTTTTTGATTATGTCCTTGGCTGTTTGAGCAATGCTTAAAGATCTGTGTGAACAGCTTTGAAAACTAGTTCAGAATATATATTTTAGCCATTCTCTACATTTTGATGTGTTTAATGCAGTTACAAAAATACTTTGATATTGGAAGGAAGTGAAAGTCTTCTTTGTCCAAAGAAATAAAGCTGCCCACCAGCACCTGTAAAACTCAAAACTTATAGAAGGAGTTATAAAAAGTGTTACCACCCCCAAAACATTCAAATGATTTTAACTTTTATGCTGCAGTATTTTCATATTTCAGCACAATCACAAGGTTTTCACTACAGTTACAAGTTATCCATCCACCCATTTTCTTCCATTGTTTGGGGCTGGACCCTATTGTTGTTATCCCAGGAAAAGGGGCAGGGCACATTGGGCGTGCCACATACCTAAGAACCTATTTATATTCCTCATTCTCACCCAAGCAAAGAGTGCCGGATTACAAATGATGACATCATAGGCACCAACCTGTGTGGTTGGTGTCATTTCAGCCTTCCAACTTTTGAAACCTTGCACGTTTTCCGTTGCTGGCACAGGTGTCCTCAAAATGGCCGAACTCAAGGTGCCTGTGCAGACATTTAAATGACACATCTGTGCTGGAGTGCAGGGATTCCCAGATAGCACAGAACTCCGAGAGGGAGAGTTCTATAACAGTGCTGAAGAAGTTTGCAAATAGACAAAAGCGCGGTGATGGCGAGTATAGACGGATACAGCTCTGTGATTGTGTCACATTGGTGGGGAAAGCAACCTATGGGTCAAGCATAAATGGGCCATAATGCAGAGACATACAACAACTCATACAGTCATACCTACAACCAGTTTAAGATTACCAGTTAGCTTAACATGCATGCCTTAGGACTGTGAAAGGAAGCCAGAGTACTTGCAGAGACCACCGTACTCATTTTTTACAAGTTATAAAAATGAAATTTTGCTTGCACACAGATGGGCTTAGATTTATAGAAAATAATCTCTGTATAATGTTTTGCATTCTAAATAGTAAGATGGGGAGTTGAGGTTTTTTTTTCTTGACAGTGTCAGTGGAGCGTTTTCCCTCTGTTTTCTGTTTTCACGCGACATGGTTGCTAGCTGTAGTTTCACACTTACTGTACTCATGTACTGAAAGTGATAAACGTTAAAGTAAATGTGTACACTGTGAATTCCGTATACATCAGCATACCTTTAAATAGTATGTATTTTTTTCTGTCCCTATTTTTTTTTTTTTTTTTTTTTTCTGTCCCTTGGGCACGCTTCAAAATTTACACCCTTTTAAGTTCCTCGGGACCCAAAATGGTCCCCATCCAAAAGGTGATATAGGAATGAATTTTATGAATTTTTTTTTCATTTTTTTTTCACATCAGATCTTTTAAACAACTTCAGACCTATCCACTGATATAAAGTTTTTCATAATTTTTTTAATATTTTTTAGGTTTCTATGGCTTTATTGTCATAAAAACCCCTGTTTTTTGGGGGGCAAAAAAACATAATATGCAATATTTTCAAAAAATGAGTTGCAAATGGAACTACTTGGCATGAGGTTATTAGAGCCTTGGATAGGTAAAGAATTCAGAACAGAATTGATTTTGATGCATTATTATTTTTGGAGCAATAAGAGTTTTTGCAATATACATCCATTGGTATCCCTCGGGACCCAAAGGGGTCCCCATCCAAAAGGTGATATAGCAATATCATATATGAATTAATTTTTCATTTTTTTTTCCACATCAGATCTTTTAAACAACTTCAGACCTAACCACAGATATAAAGTTTTTCATAATTTTGTAAATATTTTTTATGTTTTTATTGCTTTATTGTCATAAAGACCCCTGTTTATTTATTTATTTATTTATTGGGGGGGGGAAACCCATAATATATATTATAAATATATATATAAAATATAAATATATTCTCAATCACATTCACACCACTCTCTTATATCAGTTCCACTACATCGAGACTATTTTATGGTGGTTAGCTGTTTTATTGTCATGTATTTTGCATAATAAGATAACCATGTCCTGCATTCAAAAACACTGAAAATGTCTATGGTGGTGCTGTACCTAATATTGTGCTCATTGGATCCAAAACCTATTTTTCCTTTATTTTGAAGGCTGAGGCTTAGATCCATTAGGTATTCACGATAAAAAAATTATCACATGTCAGGATTACAGTATATCGAAAATATGTGATTATAATGGGAGTCAATGGGGCCCAAAATGGTACGAGGAATGTAGAAGGTAACACTTATGTGAATCTCCTTTACTATACACCACACCATAGAGGGGATCAATGAATTTTAAAAATAATCCTAAAATGCACATCATAAGTCAGTTTCATGCAACTAGTCTTTAAAATGACTGATATATTGAAAATCAAAAATCCAAAGTTACCCAAAAGGGTAACTTTTTTGACGAGGAACGCCGAAGGGTTAAATATGAATGTTGTCTCTTTAACTGAAAGTGCCTGTCAAAGTATTATGCAACCAGTAAAGTCAGAAATCCTGCTGTCACACGTAACAATAACCTCCACGCCTCTGTCCCCACGCCTCTGTGAAGTAACACCACCCAGTGCCACACCTCAATTACACCGTACCCTGTAGTTTCACTTAGTGAAACCCAAACCACTAAACTTGGCCTCTTAACCTACACCAATGCCATCTCCCTTTACTTGACCTACAGCTCACCCCATACTAATCTCACCCTTTCAAAATTGAACAGTATACACACACACACACACACACACACACACACACACACACACACACACACTCACACACACACACACACACACACACACACACACACCACCATCACTATCATGAAATCTTTCATCTAGCACAAAAGAAACCTCCAGCATCTGGCTGCTAAACACCACACCCCAGGAGGTTTCTTAGGTTAGTGTGCTTGTTGCTTGTGCACGTTTGCAGGAGTGTTTCCTCTAAGTTTAAATAGTTGGAGCATAAGGGCGTTTCCTACAACATCCCTATTTTATGTCCTTATTTCTTTTTATTATTATTTCTTTTTCTTTTTTTACCCAAAGCAGGAGAGTTGTCCATTTCTAAATGTAGCACAATAGCATTAATAATCTTCATAACTATTAATCATTCCAGACAGGACAGTCATTTGCAATCTGTACCTTTCTGCATCTCAGACAGGTGACCTGTTCCACACACAGAGGTTTAATTAAATGATTTGTTACACATTGGTTGTCCTCAGGTGGAGTTATGAAGTCTGCCACAGTTCATGGAAATGTTTCTGTTAGTGTAAAATAGTTTCTCTCCTCCTACCTTTATAGGGGTTGAGCAACCAAACCTGGCAAAGAGGTACATCTTAGGTATTAGATAAGAACCTTCATGAGCCTATCTAATATCTAATAATATCTAATGTATCAGCTATTATGATGGCAATATGTTGCCTAGCAACCAGGCAGCAAATAGCTACAATGACTTGTTTTCAGTATTTATGCAGCTATAACACTTGATAAAAGCATTGTATCATTTATATTTGACTAAAATGTAATATAATTTATATCTACACAGTTTAATTTCTTCATGATATATCATGACACCACCAGGCCGACTGGCAATCCACCATAACAGGCTAGAAGGATCTGTTTTTGCTGGGATATCTTGTGAAAACATCTAGTTTTAATTTTACAACCAATAGCACAAACGGGCGAAACAATACTGCAGCATGGTGTGCTTTTGTATTATTATTTGTATTTATGATAGTGTCATTATATAACAAGGCTTGTTTAATCATTAAAGTGACTACTAATGTATGGTAGCAGGTAGCCCAGTAGCAATGGAAAAATATTTGCTGTTATCATTACGTTACATAGGTAGATGCGGGTGGTGGTCGTGTGGGGAATCGAATCCCAATTTCACCCAGCAGGCCAAAATGGCTATAGCGGGTCGTGAGCACACAATGGAGAGGAATATGAATCATACAGTAATGATAGTCCTTCTGTTTTAATAAGTAATAACTGCACCATGTACAGTTTAGGTACAGTACACTGAAAGCAGATACTATCATACATGAATCATCAGTAGTTAATTTATTGAGCCTCTTCCTTCTCTAGTTAGGGACTTGAATGTCAAAATCATACAAGCAATCTTTTTTATACCTGTCTGTACTTCAGAATATTTTAAAGTCATGGAAAATTAATTTTGTCAAATCATCCTAATTTGTGGTGTGTTAAAGAAACTGGGACTCGCTTTCCGTTTCACTCTAATTACAAAGCTTACACAATCTGTTTTCCTCCTGAATATATTTTTTTAAATTGACTAAACTCAGCAGCCGGAGAGCAAAATCACTGCTTTGGCTTCTAGATAAATGTGCTGTGATATATTATTCAGGGCCAAACAGTGGACTTATATGCATTAATTTCTCAACTTTGATAGGAAGGATAATTATTTGAAATGGTATTCTTTATTCTAACTTGATTCTTTATATTTATTAGTCATTATGTTGGTTTAGTAATAAATCAGACTCAATTAGTGGAAAGTAAGTGGCTTAAACAGCCTTTTACATTGTTTACCTATAATCACTGCCAATTTGCTTGATTCATACCAGAGAAAAAATTCTTGGAAAGTGGTAGGTTATCATGTGGCATTGGCAATAAACAGTTTGTCACATTCAATTTTGGCGAAACACAAAGGTCCAGGAGAGAATATTCAGTTTCAAGGAAATAGTCTGCACTGATTTTGCACCATTTAACAATATCTAAGTTTTACAAAGCCCTTTAAAGTGACTTTTCATTCTTTCTCACACACTCACACACACAAATTGCGAGGTGCTGCTAGCTCGAGGGGATGGAGCCTGGAGTTGTCTGTGAAATGCAGTTTTTGAATAGTAAAATTAACATCAGCACAGGTTTGTTTTTCATAGAACAATACACTTTGTAACAGAGGCATGTCAGCATTAACCTTTCTGCATTCTGCATGACACCATATCATAGCTCATAGGTGATACTCTGTAGCACCTACCTTTTACTATATCACCTTACACGTGTGTGTGTGTGTGTGTGTGTGTGTGTGTGTGTGTGTGTGTGTCTCTGTGTAGGACGGAGGACATCCCTCTGAAAATCCTTGCCCACAACAGCCTTGTGGGTCGGCTGATTGGCAAAGAGGGTCGCAACCTGAAGAAGATCGAGGAGGAGACAGGGACCAAGATAACCATCTCCTCGTAAGTCCAGCTTTTAACTTGCTTATGGTGCTCTTACACATGTGTAACCTCTCATATTTGCAATTCTCCTCAGTGGATTTATGTTTTGAGTGAGATCAAAGATTTTTACTGTCGCTGATTTAACCAAATCACAAATAACAGACAGTGATTTCAAGCCCTTTTCACTGTAACCTCCTTCGTCTGTGCTCCTTAACCCTTCGGCATGTGGTTACACTTAACAGAGTTGTTAGAGAAGTAACGTGGCGATTCGATTACAGCTTTTTCTTTTCAGAACATGATATTAGAGAGGTAGTGATTGCACCCCATTTAACGGACTGTGCTCCCCAACCTTCTTTCATTTATTGCTAATGAATTGCTCTGTGTCTGCGAGGTTTGAGAATGTAATGAGCCTTGAGAAAGAGACGTCGAGGTGGAGGAAGAGCGGGCTAGAGCCCTTTTGAGAAGCTCAAATAGTAGATTCAGAATTGATGGTTCTGTTAAGTCTTTTTGCAGTGTCAACTGTGTTCACCAACATAGTGCAGAGAGTTTGAGCTTCAAAGGCCCCGAGGTGTTAACATTTGTGTAATGTCCAGGATAACTGGTCTATGGGGCTTTGCATCTTTGATTCATGTAACAGACTTTTTAGAGTAGTATTATCTCATTGGTGCCGGTTCAGCTGAGTATCAGACACCTTGAATTTCAAAAATTTGCCAGCAGCTTTCAAGATAACAGGTAACCATAGACATAAGCATTTTTTCCTTTCATATTCCTCAGGTTAACATTGAAATGTACAAATTAAGTCATTATCTGGCTGTTGCACAAATAGAAGAAAAACATCAATCACACTGTTGCTTTTTTTGGCTTCCATTTGTATATGTAAGTCCCTCTGCTGCTAATCCACTTGACTCGCTGAGCTTAATTTATAGCATTGCGTTGGATCCCTGCGGAGCCTCTGCTGTAGTGGGCGACATAGTTGTTTGCATTTATGCTCATGTGCTGATGTGTCTGCAGTGCTCCGCCATCGCGAGTGAAACCTGAGCTGATCATGTCAGGCGTTAAGCTAATATATCTTAAACAACAGTCGATTACTGAAAGGGAGGGAAATGAAAAGACTTCAGAACAGACAGTGTGTGCACTTCTGTCAAAGCTGTGGAACAAGAAAAAATGGCATGTGAGCACACTGGCAGGTCACTAATGTTTGCTTTACCTGTTTTGTTTTGTTTTGTTTCGCTGACATATTATCTTTGTGTTGCAACCAAACAGACCTGTCACACTAGTTGAGGTCTGAGTTGCTGCCACATGGCGCTAGGTTTCAGGGAATGTGTGGCCAGAATACAGAGAATTAAAGGAGTAACATGAATTAAGCAGTAGTAGTTTAAAGGGACATAGACTTTTTCAATAGCCTGAAATGTGAACAGTATGTCACATTACACTGTTCACGTAGGGCTGCTCGATTATGGCAAAAATGATAATCACGATTATTTTCACTGAAATTGAGATCTCGATTATTTGACGATATTTATTTAACAATAACAATGTATTGAACAATGACTTTAAAGATTGTCATAAAATATTATAAAATAGTGTGCAAATACTGATAACAGTGCAGATGTTTGCAATATAAAAAATAAATGAAAAATGTAAACATCTATGTTTAGTGAACTTTGCAGTGTTGCTCTGTGGTGCAGCTACGACACCGTAGCAAAGTTTACACACTGTGTCTACTTGATCCACGTCTGACTCCGCAAACCAATAATGCTTCCACACCACTGAAGTTTTGTTTAACCTCTCTTTTCAACCAACGGCAGTCACTCTCCTCTCCAAATAACTTCTGCTTAGCTTTCCGAGCTTCCCTCGGGTCCTCTTAATCAGCGGTCCCCAACCCCTGGGCCTCGGACCGGTACCGGGCCGCGAGAGTTGAGGCTCAGGTGTGAAATGTATAGTTTTCAGGGTTTTTATCGGTTTTCAGCGTTATTTTGTTATCGTTTTTATCGTTTACTCGGTTTTCCTGGGTCTTTTCACGTGTGTTATGAATAAATCTTCTTTTTTTCGGTACCGGTACTAGTTTTATTTTGTTGTATTTATCCGCGACACCTTAAAGGCTGGTCCGTGAAAATATTGTCGGGCACAAACCGGTCCGTGGCGCAAAAAAGGTTTGGGACCGCTGCTCTTAATTGTTGTGACACGTGTTCGAAATGCAGAGAGGTGCGCTAGATTTGCCACACGGAGCAGCGCGAGAGTAAAGCACGAGGGAGGGGCTAATAATCGGCTCAGTCATTTTTAATGATCGTTGAAAGCCCAGATCGTAATCGTGATTAAAATTCGATTAATTGAGCAGCCCTATGTTCACGTAATGTAAAATGCAGGATTTGATTTAAATCAGGTGCTAGCATAGCATTATCCATGCATGTTGTCCGGTGGTATAAGCTGTTGTCTTCTGTGAAAGGGTCATGTGACTGGTAGGTGCGTGATGAGTCTGTGACGGCCCACCGTGTGACCAACAAGACCCAATCAGGAAACAAAGTGTGATGTCTCTTGTGGTTTAAAAAAACGTCCAGTCTGAAATGCAGACCTCTTTTGTTTTTGTTGACAGCATTTCCAAAAATGTCTCTTTTAGAATCTGGTGAAGTGAAAATGTATCAGATGCTATGTTTTAAACCCAGAGCATAGTTGGAACATGACTACAAATCATCGTATCTGTCTTTTTTTTGACATGTGAATCATAGTCTAAGCCAACACTGCATTTTTAAAGCTCCCATATTCTTGACTGAGTTATATTAGTAATAAACAAGAATCTAAAAACGAACAAAACATGTCAGCCAATATATGTTGTTCAGCGTTAAACCTAAATTTAATTGATATTCTGTTTTACTGTCAGTGCAGTTTAACTCTCACTCGGCCAAGTTATTATTAACAACGCTGCAAGCTTCTCTTCACTGCCATCCATCCTGTATGACGTGAATGCAGCATGTTGAAAGACACAGCTGAGTTGCATTATGGGAAATGTAGTATCCAGCCTGTGGAAACTTAGTCAGAACCTAAATATATCATTATTCTTTTAAATCTGTTTTGAGAATCCTCTGCACGTCTATACAGTAATCATTTCTGTGTGTGTGTGATTTTCCTTTCAGGTTACAAGACTTAACTATTTACAACCCTGAGAGGACCATCACGGTGAAGGGCAGCGTAGATGCGTGTTGTAAAGCTGAGATGGAAATCATGAAGAAGCTGAGGGAAGCCTACGAGAATGATATTGCTGCTATAAATGTAAGTCTTGAGGGTACCGTCTGCAGGCCTCCTGATTGTTTGTGTTAGTATGTGCTAGTATGTTGACTCACGCAGACTGACAGGTGAACAACAGAGAGAAGCGATGATATACGGCGGGATAATATTGCCTTCCCATTCAGCGCATGTTAGCGCCAGCATTAGTAATACCAGCTTGGTAAATGGATAACAGTAAACGATCGCTGGACAGCTCATCAGTGAGTCGAGTGTTTGAGCGCTCCGTGTCTGTGTGTGTGTGTGTGTCTGCCTCTTTCATGGAGCTTCTGACTCACACTTAGTTCCCCGCTGTGTATGTGTCTGTGTTACTGCTGTAACACACTGCTTTTCCCAGCATCCACCTGATATGTGCAGGCCGCCCTCTCGCCCAGCTCCTCTTTCACACTGCCCCAATGACATCACCAGCGGTGCAGCCTGAGAGGTCATCCTCTGAGGAAGAGCGATAGCCATGATGGCACACTCTGCATGTTCTCTGTTGTACTGCAAAGAGATGAATGCTGATAAAGTGACTGTATTAACGATGACGATGCTCCTCAGGATGTGACTCGTGTAGTAACACGGAATTAGTTGGTTTCTTTCCCTTTAGCGCATTAGTTGATTAGTTTTTCCTTCACAGTGACAGTCTCAATATTTGTTCAGAAATAATCATAACGCAGCGTGCTGCCATGTTGTTCTGGATGTTAAGAGCAGTTCTGGCACCTGTCAGGTTGAGTGTCAGCTCTACAGTAAGCATTTAGGGCCATCTAGCGTGACAGTCTGGATATTACAGAGAGCGTTCTGGGATAAAGGAAGTGAAAGGAGGCAGTCCTGTCTTGTCATGGCCATGAAACCAGAATAGCTGACTTGCCTTTGGGGGAATATTTTTCTTTCTGTTGTTGTTTGTTTTGGGGTTTGTTTGCTTTTTGTTGTTGTTGTTTTTTGGTTTTTTTTGGTTATGCTTTTAAAACATCTCTCTTGTAAAAACCATGTACCACAGGAGCATGATCTTTTTAAGGAGTTAAGAAAACAGACCAATTTTAAGCTTGCAACAAGCATTTTTTAGAGTTTAGTGGTTTTTTTATTGTAATGTAGCTCATGCAGTAGAAGATTTTTCTAAACCCCTAGAGGAAGATTTATTCCTTCGCTTTTTCTTTAAAACCCTGTGGGCAGTTGACACAACGAGACATGCAGCTAAACAGTATTTTAATTATCAATAAATGAAGAGGATTTTGCAGAGTATGTCATTATTATGGTAATAATTAATAGAGATGGCACGATACCACTTTTTTATGTCCGATACCGATACTGATATCATAAATTTGGATATCTGCCGATACCGATATGAATCCGATAGTGTTTTTTAATCAACAAAACTGTTTTTTAAATATTTTGCTGCATTTTGTATAAGTTCATACTCAAGTTTAAAACAACAACTACACTAAAGCTATTCTGTTATACCTGTATGCAAAAAAAAATATTTCATAGTACAGCAATACTGATCAATCTAATAAACTTAAACCTACACCATCCTCCCTATTCTGGTATTTTAAAGAGTACTTAGCATAAATATTAAGCAACCTAACTAATAGGGTTCCAACTCCCAGCAACAACAAAAATAAATAAATAAAAAATAGGGAACCACCCCTCACGCGCCACCTCATGATGCTTAATCGACGTAATCAACCTTAATTTGATGCAGTGTGAAAAAAAAATGCACAGAAATCAATTATTTTTCAAGAAATATTAAATAGATTCAACATCTTTCTTCAACAAAATTGCAGACTGCACAGATGGTACCTTCCCAAAGGAAAAAGTAGTATAGCTTACTAGGGTATTTATATTAGACTTAATAGTTACTATATACAGTAATGGACTTCTATTCATTTTACATCAAATTAAAACTTTGTGTGTCAGATAATTATTTATTAAAAGCTAGACATTTTAAATGAGAATAAGAAAGAAAAGTATGTCTTTGTGCCCCCTTTTCCCTGTTAATGCCCTATCGGCCCCCCTGGCTAAACTTTGCTAGATCCGCCCCTGCACAGTTACCAGCGTCAGCTACGTAGAAAAAGATCCTCGAGTAGAAAGTAATATTAAATAAATTCTAACAACAGCTGATTAAGCTTAAACGTGTTGCTGTTGTTCAGCCGCTGGTTTCCTCTTTCTGGTGCAACGTGGGCCAAAAACAAACTAGAGACACGGACTCGCGACAGAAAAGCCGATCAGCTGATCGTTAAGCAGTTTCATGATTGAAGTAGCAGCAAGAAGAGGCAGTCGCTTGTTAAGCTTAACGCAGGAATGCTTTACAAACATTCAGAGATGGACTTACACACTTGCTTTACTTCTCTCGGGGATAACTTTGTCGGAGATGAAATGCTGGGTTGCTAGTGAAGCTCCAAATGCTATCCAGACCACTGACAGGTCCCGCATGCCACAGCCGCTCTATCACGTGATGCATACGTTCTGAGGTGAGTTAGGTGTGTTGCAAGTTTTGTGAGGTGCTTTCGTGATATTTAATGGATCGGATTACATTTTTTATTTTTCTCCGATATCCGATCCAGTAATTTAGGTCAGTATCGGACCGATACCGATACGTAATATCGGCTCGGTCCATCTCTAATAATTAATAACGTGTAGGACATATTTTTCATTGATAAATTATTCAGACATTTCCTCAGTCATCATAACTATTGTTGAATACTTCCTCCAGCTCTGCATCCTTATTTGTCAGCACAAATGTGGTGTTCTTTGAAGTGATGTGAGAACAGAAAATATTTTTTGTGCTTGTGACCAACTTTAATGTATCAGATTAAATAAAAGGCTCAGAGTTGTTATTATTGTTATATTAAAAAATACTTGAAAAATTGTTGTTTATTGCTTGCATTATTAACTTTAAGAAAAAAGTTTAAAATGTGCTTAATTGGACAAGTCATTTGTGTTTGGTATGTTTTCTTCATCTTTCTTCAACTTATGTTTTTTCCAAGATCACTGCAGTGTTTTTTCTTTTTGTTTTGCATGCTTTGGATATTAAATGAAAGTTAAAATCCGATCAGCTTCTTTAAAAAAAAAAAAATCGCATTAATTAAATGCCAAGCAATTGTCTTCTGTTGTGATAACTTTTTAAAACTCTGCCACTGCCACTTCTTTTTTTGTCCGCTCAGCAACAGGCCAACTTGATCCCGGGCTTGAACCTGAACGCTCTGGGCATCTTCTCCTCTGGTCTGCCGGTGCTTCCCCCTGCTGCTGGACCACGTAGCGCTGTGCCTGCTGTGGCGCCAGCAGGGTACAACACATTCTTAGTGAGTATCCTCTGTTTTCTTTGGGGGGGGAAGGCTTTTTTGGTCCCCCCTCCCCTTTTCCCACAGACTACCTGAGCGCATGGCCATAAAAGGGAAGAAAAAGTTATTTTTGAAAATGCTTCTTTGAGCATGACTTTGCCTTTGCTGGTTTACCCACATCAAGTGCATGATAAAGATTGACTTGATAAAGCAATTTATCTCCAACACTTGGTAAACCAGGCTCCTCTGAAGTGCATTTTTAAAATACACTACAGTGTTGACTCAGGTCTTCCTGCATGATTTTGTACACAGTTTGAAGCAACCAGAATTCCCCCATCTTCTCCAGAGATGAGTCAGTCTGTCAGTAAAACAAAGTCTCCACTCATTGCCTGACGAGCGCGAGCCAAAGCGGCGTGAGACAGTGCGTGAGAATGCATGTGCGTGCTTCGTAGTCAAGACACTCAGTGTGTGATTCACTGCGAGTTTCTACCCTGAAATTCCCCCCGAAGAAAGAGCTTGACTTGTGTTCGTGCCTGTGCCTTTTAACATGTGTGTTAACATGCCATCTGATAGGCATGCTTGTCACTTCACTTTCAGAGTCACTCTTCACATCTCAGTGGCCTGTATGGGGTTCCTCCAGCAAGTGCCATCCCCCACCAGCACTCAGTATGTTCCCTCAAATCTGCACTACAGTCAGTGTTTCCTCTCTGAATCCTTTATTTTGTTTTGTTTTTTGTTTGTCCTAATAGATGATTGCTTTAATAATCAAAAACAGGTGAAATCCATGTTTTGGAAAAGAGAGCCCTTTAGGATTTACGTTTCTTCTGGTTGTGTGGATTCTGCAAATAGCTTCTATGCATGGGAGGTAAAACCGTGAACCCTGCTGTAAAACAGATAAAGGCAGATCTAAATGAGGTGGATTTGTAAATAGCAGACTGTTAGAACGCCTCAGTCAGCGTCTGTGTAGGACAGAGAGTCTGGATTCCTGTTTACCATCACCCAGTCACCAGAACACCACAAATATTCCTGGAAGGGGACTTTTTAGCCCAGAGTTATCCCGTGGCTCGTAAAAATTCACTTTATAAACCTCAACTACATGAGTGTTACCATGCTAAGAAAAACAAAAACACAGGGCAGGCATCACCCCTAATAGGAAATATTCCATTCAGACGTGGCCAGAGGGCGATGTTTACCCAAAGAGGGCTTAATTTAGCCTCCCTTGCATGTGGTGTCAGCTTTTTCGGCCGTTCTTCAAGTATCTGTCAAGTGTGTTCAAAACCGTTTTTGCGACAATTTGAATCATTTTCTTTTCTTTCACAGTCAAATAAATAGTAAAGTTTAATAAAAGTACTTTAAATGTTTTCTTTTCTGTGTGGTCCTTTTTCAGCAACAGGCTCCAGAACAGGAGGTTGTCTACCTCTTTATTCCAACTCAGGCAGTCGGGGCCCTGATCGGCAAGAAGGGTCAGCACATCAAACAACTTGCCCACTTTGCCGGAGCTTCCATCAAGGTGCGTTTGTTGCCTGTCAACAGTGTGCTCAGTAAGAAAGGGGAAAGAGGAGGATGGAGTGTTGCTAATCTAATGAGCGAGTGTCTTTTTTTTTTTTTTTTTTATAAATAAACCTCAACTCATCATTCACCCAGCAGCATTTCATGGATCTGGGGTGGAGCAATTTCCATATTTCAAAATGTTGAAAGAGAAACATTTCAGATAATGCAATCAGAGACAATTCATTTTGTTGGATTCTTCAGTTGCATTCAATATATTTGTGGGATTTTCTTCTCATGATTTTATTGGCCACAAGCTTTACATGATCTCATACTGCATGAATTTGTTCAGAAGCTAGAAATCTGATTTGCGTCTTTCTGTGCGTGTCAGATCGCTCCGGCTGAGAGTCCAGATGTTACTGAGAGGATGGTCATCATTACTGGAACACCAGAAGCTCAGTTTAAGGTAAAACCTGCATATGTGCATGAATCTTTGTGTTAAATAATTTTTGAGGGGGGATTAACTTCATAAATAGTTTTCATAACAGCAGTGGATCATTGTTTGTCCCCATTTTCCCCAGTCTCTCCTTGCCTCATTCCCTCCTCTGTATTCCAGGCCCAAGGTCGGATATTTGGAAAGCTGAAAGAGGAAAACTTCTTCTCTGCGAAGGAGGAGGTCAAACTGGAGACGCACATAAAGGTTCCCTCAAGTGCAGCTGGCAGGGTCATCGGTAAAGGTGGTAAGACGGTAAGCATGCGCTTGAATTGTCCTTTAAACTGCAGCAACAACAATGCCTTGCTCCAACTTTTTATTTAAATGAGCTAGTTATGTTTACATGATAAAATTTTTATCTGTGAGAGTCTCACGTACTGGTGTTTACTGCAATTACTTATTGGCTTCAAGGGGTGTTTCAGTTAAACACAATTTAGAGGTTGGAGGTAAAATTCAAAGTGAGGCTGTGATAACGGGAGTCTGTGTCGGTGTTTCAGGTAAACGAGTTGCAGAACCTTACGAGCGCGGAGGTCATCGTACCGCGGGACCAAACTCCTGATGAGAACGACGAGGTCTTTGTGAAAATCAGTGGGCATTTCTTTGCCAGCCAGGTACCCAAAATTAAACCAGCGATACTCATTATTTGGCTAATTAGTTCTGCTGCTGCACAGGTATCAAAAGAATAGCTGCAGCCACAGCGTACAAAAGGCATTGTTAAATCGCATAAAACAATAAAACGCGGTGTAATGTCCACATTTTTATATGATCATAAAACCTGGTGTATTCTGTCTAATGGCTCTTTGTTCAGCCGCAACATGCTTCCCCTATGTTTATGTGTATTCTCTTCTGGCCTGCAGTGCTAAAACCATCTAGTTTATTTTAGTTTTTTTTTTTTTGAGATGCATAAATGTCTGCCTGCTACAATTGAACTAAATGGCAGCCATATTGTGTTGCTCAAAGTGCCTGTAATGGATTAAAAACCTTAAAACCTTTTTCGTGACCCAGTTATTATAAACTTGTGCAGACCTCTGTTATGTAAAAAGGATTTCCTTTCTGCCGAGCCGCCTGCCGTTACTATCACTGTGTAGAAGGCAGCATCCATCTGCCTGTAATGAGAGGCTCATGGTTGTGACAGCAGGAGAGGATGTTAACATTAATATTGCCCCCCTTGGCTGAGCTCTTAGCTGCGCATATCTTTTGCTTGGCAGATGTAGACAGCTGGTAGTACAATTTGTTTTCATTGTAACCAGCTGGACATGAAAGTTTTCTGATGTTGGAGAAATCTAATCAGCCCAAAGCTGAATGTGCTGCATGTAACTGTTGTGTAACTGTCTATATGAGTAACTAGTAATAATAAAATGAAAACAAATGGGTAGCTGTTCACTGGCTTTCACACGTATCACATTTAGTTGGCTCAGTTGGCTGCAGTCAGATTAATGCATCCAAGTGCTTTAAAAATGGTATAAAATTGTATTTTTCTTTTCTTTTTGAGCGCAGTTTAAATCGGCTCATGCATTTTCTGCAATATTAAAATTGACAAACAAGCGGAGACACACACACACACACACAGCTTTGGATGTTGCTCTGCTCATATCTGTAACGCTTTCTTTCAGATAAAGCTTGCATACTGCATTTACCTAAATGTACCTGTTATGTTCTGCTGCAGTGTTAATTCTTGATCTCTCCTACAGACTGCACAGAGGAAGATCCGGGAGATCATTCAGCAGGTCAAACAGCAGGAACAGAAGCACCAGCAGGGCGCCGCTGTGTCACCGCACCACTCCAAGTGACCAGCCGGGTGGCTCCAGTGGGCACCAGCCAATGAATGTAGCCCTCCCAAATGAACAGAGACCTATCCAGACTAAGGCCAAGGCCAAGGGGGACATGCAGGGCTGACCAGCAGCACCGGGATCAAAACCAAAGAACTTCGCTAGGGGGGACACAAGTGAGAGCCAAAGGCTGAGGGCATTGTGTGCACTGCCAGCCCTGTGAGAGCAGATAGATTGGGAGAAATCGTACTGAAGCTTAAAAAAAAAAAAATTAATAAAGAAACAAAAAGACCAAAAAAAAAAACCTACAAGAAAGGCGGAAATGGCAGAAAATTTGGGAACTGTTGTCTTCACGGTTTAAAAAAAAACTAGTTTGTCTCCCTGCATAACGTTATCTCTTTAGTTGGACTAACATAGGCCTAAAAAAAGAAAAGGAGAAAATGCAACTCTATTTTAACACGAGCGTGTACGAGGCATTGTGATTGATATTTTGGGTTAGAGCGAGAGCCAGCGACAGCGGACTCCTTCTCTCACGCGTGTTTGAGATATTTAGATTGTGAGATCAAATATCCTTAGCAGTATTAATGCAGTAGAAACGTGTATGGATACACACTGAGAGCATGCTCTGTTATTTTATTCATCAAAATGACAGTAGAGCTTGGTGTTAGTATTTTGCTTGTACCTGAGATTGATTGACTGAGTAATCGATTGATTGACAGCCTCCCCTTGTTTGTTCCCATTTTTAGGCCACTGAAATTTGAAAAGAAAACCCCTATAAGTAAATAAGGTGAATGGTTCTGAGTCTTTGTAACAAGCCTGTGTGTGTGCCAACGCAAAAGATAACGTCCCTTTCAAATATATCTCACCATTCATACTAAGCTTTTTTTTTTCTTTCTCTCTTTTCTTCTAATTTCTGCTTCACTTCTCATCACTCTCTCTCATCAGACACCATGTCTTTTCTTTTGTTTTTGTTTGGGTTTTTTCTTCTTTTTTTTTTTTAAAATGGGATAAAAAAATTTCCGTAGCTTTTTGATAACCTTGAACTGACTGCCACTTTTGCTCAAGAGAGGTTAAATGCAACTGAGGGATTTTTCTTTTTTTCTTTCTTTTTTTTGTAATCAGTAAAATTCTGTCATGCTGTGCAGTAGACGTCGTCTGTGTTCACGCTCGTCGTCTCCTCTTTAATCAGAGCAAAAACTGACGTCTTAACGAGCGGTGCGCGTTCGCCCGTTAACCGGTCTTCTTCGGACGCGCGCCGCCACACGCTTGGCCTTATGAGGACGTTGCAAGGGCCAGCACAGAATGTGAGCTGAGGGCCCAGTAAAGGAGGGGGACAGGGTTCGGGGCAGGGTTGGGAGGGTTAGGGGGAGGGAGGGTGCAGACCTCTGGTGTGTGGGGTGGCAGCGAGGTTGGATTTTAGGGAGGCGCTGTATGACCTGTGGTACACGACCAGCCGCAGCCGCGTTTGGCTTTAACCCTCTCTTGTCAGGGAGCTTTCTAAAAATGGCATGACAGCTGTGAATGTACAAAATGCAGCCTTTTTAGAAAAAAATACAGATATCACCCCTGCCGTGTCCAGCAGGCCAGGCCAAACGGCACACGACACAGATTGTCATCCTCTTGCTCTCTGTTCTTTTCACTTTTTTAAAAAAGATTTTTATTAAAAATTTTTATTTTGGCGAGTTGGCCGCCTGCTCTGCGGGCACGCTGGACACGCAGGTCCTGGTGTCCCTTTGTGCTTTACTTTGAAGAACATAGAAGCTTGTTGCCTTATTTTGTCACCTTTCATACATCACCCATCAGCTTCATCTTCCAGACGCAAGGTTATTGCCAATACGCACAGCTTCCTCCGTGTGTGTGTGTGCGCGTGCGTGTGTGTGTATATATATATAAAAAGAGAGAGTAATATTTATGAATCTATTTTTTCCTATTTTGTCATGAGAGCTATTGATAAGAAACAAAAAGAAGACAAAGTCCTTTTCTTTTTTTCCTCAGTGGGACACTGCCATATTATTTTGAAGGGAAGTGTTTATTTTCTTGAAAAAAACTAAAACAAAAACTAGACTATGAATAATAATATAATGAATAAAAACCTGAAAAAATAGGAAAGCAGTAAAAGTGAACCACCGCGTTAACTTGTGGTCGGGATGTGAACAGTGCGCATGTCAGTATTGTGATCTACCTCAGGCTTCAGGGTACCTCAGTCCAATCTTTCATTTCTCCCTTTTTCCACATTTTTGTATGCCTTGTTAACTAATCATTTTGAGCGTTTTTAATTTTCTTTTTTAATGAAATAAAAAAAGATAAAAGATCTACAGTAATCTCTACTCTCTTCAGGTCCAGCCGACTAGTGAAACTTTGTAAAAGAAAAAATCAACTAAAATAACCGTAGTCAACGTTGTCGGACTGTTTGCCTGGACGCCATACAACCTCTTAATGATACAAAAGAATTTCCAAGTCAGTTTTTTTTTTGTTTGCTAGAAAGGAATGAAGAGCAGGATCTAAGGGGTACATACCTGCCCGATGTGGTTCTGAATGTGGATGTTGTGTACTGATTTCACCTTCAAAGAAATTAAAGAGAACGAAAAAAAAAAGAAAAATCAGTTGATAGAAACAGAAACTAACCGACTGTACCTCCTGTTTTTGTTTTTTTTGTTTGTTTTTCCCAACCGTACCTCCAGGTTTTTTGAGACTTTTAACAACAAACCACGACGTTTATTCACTTGTGGAAAAAAATAACATAAAAAAATTAATTACTTTTGTTTTGTTTTTTTTATAACAACCCAATTTTACCAGCTCTATTTGATAACAGCATCCTCTGGGGTTGATTTGATGAAAACACAAAGCTGCAAAAATACACTGACAGGACTCTTGAACGTGGTGTGAAGCCCTAGTCTTCTGTGTAGAATGTAGAACAACTCTAGTCGTTGAAATGTCACTGTGTACGACAGGATAACTGTATATCTGTAAACATGTACAATAGTCGCACATTAATGCATCGTTTTCTGTCTCTCTATAACACCTACAAGTCTGCGCCTGCATTGTGAGAAATGGTGGGAGAAGTTTAGAGCGTCACAGGCTCCCTCAAGCTGACCTCTAAATGGTTTTCTCATCGATCTACCGGTTATTACATTTATTTTTTTTTGTGCTGTACATTTCAGAATTACCTCTGAATCCAAGGCTGACTTAGTTACAGTTACTAAAACCAGTGTAGGGTAAAGGAATATAATAAATAAATGATGTAGTAAAAGTTAGTTTGTTTTTGGCACTATTTTAGGGATTTTTTTTTTTTTCCATCAGATGAGGATCCTTTTTTTTTTTTTTTGGTCCCAGTGAACACAGATTAGCAAAATAAAACATAAAGGTCTATCAAACTCACACAATGCCTGGGGCTGCTTCAGCACGCCTCCACCACAGCCGGTACAGTACCTCATACTGATGATGTTAGCTCGCCAGACCTGATTCAATTACCCTGACCTTACCCACACGAATGCAGTACAGTGCTTCTGTTGGAGCGCTTGACTCCTGCGGTGGGCTGCTTCACTTTAGTAGGGCATGTCTGTTCGCAGTAGCACTGGAAAATTGAATCTTGTCACTTACGGTTTGTATGACTGGCAGGAGTAGGGTTTTTTCCCCTCTTTTTTTTTTTTTCCTAGAGCAGATTTGAAGTTCTTTTCTCGCATTGCAGAGGACTCCTCAGGCCTCCGCCTCTCTTGTGTTTTTGGCTCTTTACTAGAAGAGCAGGTTTCCCCTCAGCCACAATCTGAGGCAAAACCTGCAAACATCATAGTAACTTTCTTTTTTACTTCCAAGGATTTTGGCGTTTCTAGGTTCAGTAGGGTGTTGCTAGGCATTAATTTCAGTATCAGAAAAAAACACACTCGCATCACTAAGGACGCACAGTGCTGTTAGTCATATCGCACAGCGGTTGAATAACTTAGGCTTTATTTCGTTTTCTGTTGATCTGGTTTTCTTGTCAGTTACACTGATTAAATGTAGTCTGGAGCAGTAGCTGGGATTCTTTATTATCCAGTCATGTTAGATCACTACTTGCTGTTAAATTGTGTCCTAGCTAGGATTTTAAACAGATTTTAAGATTGGGATGGGGGAGGTGGGGGGATAAGAAAAAGAAAATGCAAAGTAGATATGAGTGGGCAGAGTAACCAGGTCTGAAAATAAAAGTGCTGGTAAAAGTTGTTCTGCCTATGGGACTGAATATTCAACACCATCCAAATTAACAAAAACAAGTATGGATCAGGTGATGAAGGATCAAGTCTGGTCAGATGTGCAGAACCACAGCAGTGGGTTTTTTTTTTTTGTTTTGTTTTTTTGTCGTCCTAACTTGTGAACTGAGAAAAATGCAAAGACTTGCATGAGACTATTGCAGGCGATCCAGTATGTACTACACGTCATATAGCACTATACTTCAATTTGTGGTTTTACATCGATCCGACTCTTAACTGCTCTTCACCATTTGGGAGATTCCTTTTGTTTCCTCAGTAGGTCACAAACCCTCACGTCCTACATTTCCCACAGGCCAAAAGGTCCCAAAAACACCTCAAGGTAATTGGTGACTGTGCACTGGACAGACATATGATCCAATGTTACTACATCTTGTGGATCCGTGCCTTTCTGGTAACAGCCATGCTGTTGTTTTGAGTTGTGAGTGAACTGTATTGCTGAGCAACCTGGATCTGAGCAATAAAGAATATTTGAAAGAAAACTTTTCACGTTTTATTATTTCAAAGGTTTTGTACCTCTCTAATAAAGGTGCTTTCAACACTTACAATCTGACACACCAAAGGTCAGTCACACTGAAAAAAAGCCCGATGTAAGTAAAACCATTAAAAAAAAATCCCTTCATCCACCAAGTGCACTGGAGCTTCTCCTCAGTGGTTCTGTTTCATCTTGCACCGTGCACAAGATCACCAAGTATTAAATTTGAAACCCATACATTAAAACAAAATATACAAATCAGAAGAAAGACATTTTACTGCTAAACCAACAAAAAGACTGCAAAGAAGGATTTTTTTCTAGCAGGATTAAAGCTTCCAGTCACCCAAATTAACTGCACATCGGTTTTCAGACAATACCAGAGAACACCTTAACACGTTAAACACGTCCCATATAACAAGCCATTTAATCCGGTCACGCTTCTTTTCCAGAGGTCAAATTCTGGCCTCTAAATGACCCCCCCCCAAAAAAGAAAGATTAACACTGAAACTGCAAGAAGCGATTGTCAAAACAATAAAAAAAAACATAACATACTCGTATAAACCAAAAAGAAAAATCATAAAAGCCCCA